TCAGCAAAGGAAGGTTGAGCAGAGTGTTGCATGCCATTACCCCGGGTGTGGCATCATTTCTGAATCTGCAAACAACTATCGGCCCAGCCAGTTACCGTCAGAGTTCTCACTGGGAGGAACAAATATTGAGCTTTCTCAATCCAGGTTTGAAAAGTCTGTTAGACCCACATGGAATTCCAGATTTATCCATCATTAAAATTTCCAAAATCTTATTCTTTAGTGTGTATCATTATCTGCTTTGTCTTTGAAAGCCTGTAGTGCTCAGATGTTAGAAAGTAGAAAGCTAAAGCAGGTATCTGTCCCTTGAATCTGGAACCCGGTGTGCCTGGTCAACTTGCTTGTTCCTTGCTTTTCTGTTTTAGTTTGTATTTTATTTATTTTATTTATTTATTTATTATTTATTTTAATTTAATTATATTTATATTTACTTATGTTATTATTTCTTTTGATTTATTTATTTATTCAGAATTTTAAAAACACCAACTTTTTGCAATACTTCTCTGTATAAAAAAATGTGAAGAGGGAGGCCTCGTTGTTACAGCTTGTTTTTGAAGACAGAGAAAACCTAGTTTGGTAGGAGATGAAAGTATTAAACAGTATTCTGAAAATTACTGTTGTTGATTAAGACGTTAAGTGCCTCGGCTTGATTTTGACAAGATTTGAGGCTGGAGAAGATGAACCTATTTGAAGCAGAATAAGAAATTTTAAAGAGGACACCACATCCAAAGTTCTTGATCCTTTTGAGGAGTACCCCAAGAAAGAGACTGCGGTGGTGTTGGAGAGGGCTCAGTACAGCTGTCGGACTTCATACTTCCAGAGAACCCAGCTGTCCCGAAACCTCTTGCAGAACATTCTGTGACCGGTAACATGGAGGCATTTTGGTCCCTACTCGCCTGCCAAGGTCTGTTGACAGTAACTGTTGCTCTTCTCAGTACGATACACAATACAGGTGGACAGAAATGGCTCTGATCCAAGAGAAGCCCCGAGATCCTGACCATAACATTCCCTCGGGAAAATATACTTGAATAGGCTTTTTCACAACAGGCCACCTTTGCCAGCTTTGTGATTTTTTTTGTCCTGTGTTTGTATCAAGACTTCTTTGAAGAATTCTGTTGATAGCATTGGTAGCGTAACACCTCTTTAAATGTGCAAGTGTGTGTTGATAGATGAAAATTTTCTAAGAAACATTAAAGCCGCTAATTTTTGCCTGTAATGCTAACACAGTGCAATGGTTCTGTACGTTCCCAGTTAAGCTCTATGTATTTCATATTCCCTGCCTCTCTGCTTGGGTCCAGCAGAGTGGTAGGAGGAAGGAGCTCGTAGAAGGCTCAGAAAATCTGCAGCACTCGGGGAGTTATGATGGAAAATGAGAATTTGACTATTTCTCACAGGGCATGGTAAGCATGACTTGTAAAGGACCTTGAGGTGCATTGGCTTTGTCTTTCTAGACCATGTTTTTTGTTTACAGATGACCTCATTACTGCATAGGTCATCTTAATTTCCAGATTCACTGTCATTGCTGAAAAACACTTGAATGAGGATATATGATAACATATCCATGACTCTACCATTTGTAGAGCTGAAAGGGATAGGAGAAATACACTTGTTCAAAATTGTTTTTCCAATTATAAAAGCATATTCCCTAAAGCAAATGCAAATTGTTTCAAACTGGGTTAGAAAGGTCCTTTTCTGGTGTTTGTAATCATTTTCCACTAGACTGAACAGATAGGGGAAGGCAATTCTGCTCTATAGTATGCTTGAAAACAGTACGTCAAACTAAAATACGAATTAATGCAAGTGTGCTTGAAGGAAAAGGCAAACTAGGGATTCCTTTTATTTCTCCTTTGCTATTAATCATTTTCGTCTACTGCTGCCTAGGAGGGCCTGTGCTGGATTCACCACACAGTGCGTGGCTGTGCAGCATTCTGGGTCCTTCTTGTTTTTCAGTAACTGGTTTGCCAGCTTCCCTTACATAAATAACATGGAAAGTGGAAGCATTTCCAATTGTCCACTAATGGGTAAAAATAGTTCTGATTCTAGTGCAGAGCTCTGTGATACACGTTGTGTCAATTCGGGGCCTCTGAAGGCTAAAATCTGTAGTTCAGCATTAGTTTAGACACAAACCCTCTGAGGGCTGAGCTATACCAAAAGCAAACAAAGGCCAACAGAATTTACGTCCTTTATTCCAATGGAAACTCTTCATATTAGTAAACACTCCCTTGCACTATTTCCAATCCAGGAGCCCTCTGCTGACGATACTGCACAAGAAGAAATTCAATTAACTCGTCCATGTAAACAAAAGTACATCGGATCCATTTACTTGGACTTGAGCTGACAAATGCAGATAGCAACCGATATAGAATAATTGGTGAAAAGTAATTTCGGGACACAATTCTGTAAGAAGAGGGAAACCCTTTTGATCCTTGCTACTGGAAGGGATATTTATTTTGAATCAAACTTCAACCACTTCAGAGAACCTCCAATAAATACCAGGATTTCGACACGCCTCGCTGTACTACCAGTTAAGCCTGGGTCTGATTTTAACGAAGTGCAGGGTGATTCACTATCTTTATTGGTAACGTGCAAACACTCAGGCGCGGACTTAGCGTAAGCTCCATACCACGCTCTGCGAAAGACAGGCTATATGCAGCACTTAAATGTTCACACGAAAAAATAAATGCATTTGTATAGTCTGCACAGAACAACTTAAGCCATAACCATACTTGCGTAGCAAAGAAGGTTTTTAATGCTCTCTGCTTTCTATAGTATAAGAGGGAATGGTTTTAATATTCAGGCACCTTGGGAAACAAGTAGTTGCAGTCTTGGTTGAATAAGTGGACTGTTAGCAGCCATAAACATAAAAATTACTTGTTTATAAAATAGCTCATGGTCTCTAAACTCAGATATAGCGTACTGAATGGCATTGCGCTAGTACGGCATTTGACTAAGCGGGTAGGTAAGTTGCAAATAACACTAAACTATACCGATGTTGTATCAGCTCTTCAAACTTTTTTTCAAGTTTTTTATATATTTTAATAGCTCCATCTGGATCTCATAGCCACTATTATTGTTATAAGTTTTATTGTTCCCTTTGCCTCTGCCTGCTGTTTGCATTTGCAGGCTACTTACAAGTGTCCTGGAAACAACGCCTGAACCTTTCTCCAGAGTCTTAAATTTGATACTGTGCATGTGAAAAATGCAGGGAAAGCACATTTTCTCAAATTTGTCTTGCTAAATATGATATGGTACAAATTAAAATAAATGTTGCATGCCCTGCTTTCCACATGATGTGCTGGTAATAAGTTTCAATGGACGAGCAAGTCTGCTGATTTTTCCAATTCTGTCACATCGATGTTGGTTATTTATGCTGTGCTATAGACTCCTAAAAGCTCAATTTGGCTAATAAGAGTCATAAAAAAATAATACAGCTGCTGCTGCTTCTTCAGAGTCTTCGTTGGGTATTCTTAAAGGAATATTGCCCATAGGGCACAACAAGTCTTATAGGTTAGTTAGGTATTGTTTGTGCTGTAAGGTAACTTCATAAAAGTTATTGTGATTTTGTCAATTACATTTCGAGGTCGACCTTCTATCCAGTGGGATTCATAAGATTGTTTTCCAAGGTTAGTTTACAATTATGCCCCAACTTAGGAGGTCATTGTGTTTTGCAGTGCAATTTTTCTTTTGTTCTAACAGATACTTTTTTTTTAAGTCTGGTATTTACTAATTGAGGGAACCACTTGGCAAAATTTAGGTTGTAATATTGAGTTCACTGCAGTCAGCTTTCAAAATGAGGCCGACAGATGGTAAAGACATTTTGTGCCCAGCATCCATTAAATTTAATTGGAAGTTGAAAGCTGTATTCACTTAGTATCTTTAAAAAAGTCTCATACCTCCTTCTGTATTAGATGTTCAGTAATGATCTTAGGTGTCTGGACCCCAGTTCAGGCTTTTAAATGTACTGTGGGACCCACCTGTTCCCAAGTCAGCATATTGTTTCAAACTTCTATGCCATTATTCTTAAAATATTCCATAAAACTATGTCACAGATGGTAGATCCTATTAACATGAAACTCTTTCTTGTCTCAACATATCCTGTTATGCCAGCAAAAAACAGTGTGATGAGGATATGAAACAGCCTTTATGTGTACATTTTCAGTTCCTGAAGTTTCCCACAATGGAAGTGAGGAAACTCTTGACATCTTCCAATTTTCAGTGATTTAATAGTGGTCTGCATGCTGCACATTGAACTTTCAGTGCAACACACACACAATTTCAATTCATCAACACTGAGCTCTCATGAGTTCTGAAACTTCATACATCAAAATAAGCTCCTCTCTAGTGCACTAGTAAGAAGAGGTTTTTCTTCCTTTCTCACATGTGCTAATTGCAGCCAGCTGTTAAATGTCTAGTCTTAGTGGTATCTGTAGGACACTACTTATTTAAAATTAAAAAAAAAAAAAAAGGGGGAAAAAAAGAAGGAAAGAAATACTCGCTTATGCAGTGAGACCCACAGTATTGCATTAATCACAGCCAATGCCTGGGTACGGCATTCCGTCTATAGGAATGCTAAAGAAATTAATTGAAAAATATCACAGGTCAGTTAGAAAAACATTTCATACTTTCAGTGAAAGTAGGGTTTCTTGATAAATATTCTGCGAAGAGAAAATCTAGTGAACAACCTGTAAGGATTAACTCCCTGAGCCTATATTTCTCTCTGCACCTCAACTAACTATTACTTTTGTACTACGTTAACATTATGTATGTATTACGCTGTTCAGAGACTGTCATCAAGACTCACATCTCATTTTTGCAAACACGATGCAAAAACCAGGCCTTATAAATTCACTAAAAAATGTTTAACTGTTAATTTTGTTTCAAGCAGCTGTTTGAATGACCTTGCACATGGCAGGCCTTAAACGTATTGCTGGGTTTGGAAGGAAGGAATTCAGGCTTCTCTTAGCGTGTGCCTGAAAATTATCAGTAGGTTTTCTTTCTTTCAGGTGAAGGAGGCCATGCAGAGAATCCATGACCGAGGAAATATAGGAAAACTAATTCTGGATGTGGAGAAAGCACCCACTCCCCTGGTGAGTGCAAAGCACTACATACATGGTGTACAGCCACACAGGTTAAAGCATGGTAGTGACCTTTGGAGAAATGTCCCTTATGATTTTTTTAAATACTGTTTTCTTCTAAATCCATAGCACCTAAATAGAACCAATAATCATAATTTATATTTTTAACCCAAAGTGAAATGCAATTGTAATTCCTAGAGTCCCAGCGGTTAATTTTCTATACTGAATGGCTATCTGCCTCTCCAAAAATGTGTCTGCAAGTGTTAGATCAGGGTAAAAGTGCCACATCTGTTTCTGACTCTGTGACGGAAAAAAAATAGATGTTTCACATAATACAAAATTCCTGTGTTAGTAAGTGAATTGAACAGAAGAAGACACAATCAATATTACTTCATTGTACAAACGTAGAAGTGCTTTCTGATTCCTATGCAGAAGTTGGAGGGTACCTTTGGTAGGAATTTCTTTTACTTCTATTATAACATATGAAGTATAGTATCGAAATACTTCTTTCTGGAAGTGTTCTGAAGGAAGATAGTTATGATGGAGCTCCGGTCCACTGGATTTGGAGCACTTGGCACTGAAACATTACAGAGGGCAGTAGTAAATGACAGTCAGGCTCCTGCCTAAACATTCACTGATGATGTAGGAAGGAGCAGTAAAGATAACGAAAAATTGATTTCAAATCAATACTGATGTATGAAGTTTGCTTTCAGACCTGAGATATCTCCTGTTTTGAAAGAACAGAAAAGAACCTGGAATTACAGTTAAGCTCTTACTTGCTCTTACTCTGAAATTGGCCCCAAATAATAAAATCACTGCAACGAAAAGGAGGGCTTTTGGGACCTCACATATGGAAACTGGGCATTATTTTTTAGCTGAATTGCATCTTAAAACTGTAAACAAGAACCCCTAATACAACATTATTACATTTGTTCCATCTGTTGTTGTTCACAATAGCCATTGTGAGAAGGTGAGAACGAATCTGATACACTTTCACGAATGGGTGTTAATTTAAAAATATGGGTAACTTCAGAGCATTGCTTTTCTCCATTAAAATCAGGTTGTGTTTGAGCTTTTTATTTTTATTTCCAGCAAAGAATCATAGAATCATAGAACGCTTTGGGATGGAAGGGACCTTTAAAGGCCATCTAGTCCATCCCCCCCTGCAATTGGCAGGGACATCTACAGCTGGATCAGGGTGCTCAGAGCCCCATCCAGCCTGGCCTTGAATGTTGCAAGGGACGGGGAACACCCCACTCCGCAACCCATCCAGCCTGGCCTTGAATGTTTCCAAGGATGGGGCATCTACCACCTCTCTGGGCAACCTGTTCCAGTGTTTCACCACCCTCATTGTGAAAAATTTCTTCCTTCTATCTAGTCTGAATCTACCCTCTTTTAGTTTAAAACCATTAAGGTTATTTAAACTAAATAAAAGGCTAGTAATCAAACAGGGAAGGTATAATGTCACTGCATTTCTCTTTCAAAAGTAAATGGGTCCCTTGCTTAGTTGGTTTTGAAATAGTTATGGGCTAATACAGGAATCTTCTTGTGTCCTAAGAGAGGTAATGGTGGTGTATAAGAAAATTCAGTCATACTAATCGATGCTGTTAAAGACTACCACCTGTCCAGTTACCCAGACTCTTCTTGTGCCTCCAGAGACAAGTCAGACTGACAAGGTGAAGTACAGGAGGGTCTTGCACCTTTACACAGCTTGTAATAAATATTCTCGTGTGAAAAAAACACGATGTGCTCCTTAAATGCTATCCTGAACTACAAATTTCTGCAACTGCCTACTACCTGTACAGGCATCTTCAATAAAATAGGAAAATGCAGTTTCTCCCCACTCCTGTATGAGCCAAGATTTGCACTCTGTCATGGGTATATTCTGCCAGCATCTACATATCCACTGCTCTATCAAGTTTCATTGTTTTTTATATAAAACAGTTGCTCTCTGAGCTTTCATGACACTATGGCTCATAGGGGACCAGATCCCATCCCTTAGCTGGCGTTAAAGAATAGCGTTACCTGTTTCTGGAAGAGCAGATACAGGAGTTGTAAACCAGAGGTCTCATACGTTCTGTAAACTTCTTACACAGTCGTTTTTCCTATCTGAGAGCCTTAATACTGGTTTGCTACAAGTGCACAGATCAGAGTTGGCTTGTGCAAGTGTCCTACAAAGCAGCTTTCTGTTACCTAAGTCAGCTGTAAGCTGGGAGGGAACAGCTTACAATTTTAGCTGGAAGTGGTGTAGTGCCAACAAAAGTTTTGCACAGACAGAACATTTATTTCCATGTTGCAACCATGTCTTCTTTCATTTTTAAAGTCACCTTATCAAATGAATCAAACTGAAATAAGAACGAATAAAACAACGTGAAAGGTGCTCTGATGTCCTTCATCTTTCATCCTGCAGATGGCCAACGACAGCACAGAGACAAGCGAGGCTGGAGAAGAGGAAGAAGACCATGAAGGGGACAATGAGAATAAAGAGCGCATGCCATTCATCCAGTAACAGCCAGAGGTGGTGGAAGCAGAAAGATTGATGAAGTAGAAGGGAACAAGACTGGGAAATCTATTCTGTGCATCAGTGAACAAATGCTGTAGTACAGTGTGTGTTGTATTTGTCTGCAGTCAGCTGAGCTATGAGCTGTTGATCATTGTTGTTTTGAACTCAAGTGCCATTGTCATCCAGTGCAGTATTATGACATTCCTGTGTAATAGCCAATTTCCCTGTAGGAGTCCCATGGATTTTTCTGTTCCGGTTTAAAAGCCTTATTAACTTCCTGTGTAATTTTAGATGGGCATCTTTCTCGTGCAAATTCCAGCATTTTGCATAAAGTTATTTGGGGGGTTTGGGCTTTTTTTGCAAGTTGGAAACAGTAACAAAAAAAATTCCCCACTTGCTGTCTGGAAGATTCTAGTGACTGGAGGGAGGATTTTAAGTTTGTGGATTTTCAGTGTTTAAAATAGTTTTCCTTTTATGAACCACAGATAAAAGTTGCAAAAAAGACGAGTTTTCTTTTTCCTCAGTCATGCTTTATCATTTTATAAGCAATCCTATCTTCATTTTCAAAAATACCTCATTTAGGATTATAGAATCTAAAATTGTGCAAGAAATCATTAATTGAGAGACTTTGATTAGTATTGTATAATCACGTTAGTCATCAGCACCAGTAATTAAACACTTTATTCAGAGTGCCAAACTATCGTGCTTTCCTGTTGATCTGAGCTATCGCCCCATGCATTACAGGCAAAGACAAAGGTCAGTGAGGCACTCTTCAGACCCAGAACTTTAATTGCCTGTAGCAATTAGCATTGTTATTGACAGATCAACATCTTCTGCTAAGGACACATTGACTCATCTGTGTCCAAAATCCAAACCAATTTTAAATTTCATTTTTAAATTGTATTGGTAAGGATCACTCATCAGTATGTGGAAAGAAATTTGTGGACGGAGTTTACTGCTCTGAAATCGCTAATGTGTTGATCAACTGTCAAGCTGGAGCTGAACTCCTACAGAAGTTAACCCTGTTAAAAATTTGTTTTAGGCCTTAATCCCATCCGAAATTATGCACAGGGATAACTTTATCTGGGTGAGTAGTTCTATCAAAAGCTCTGCTCCATCTGTACAGTTATGTTTGTAATTATTTGCAGGATCAAGTATTCAGAGACCAGCTAGTCTTATCTACCTCCCACTAGTGGAAACTGTATCTAAACATGGCAAAAGTAAACATTTTTTCCATGTCTTTCACCTGTCCAAGCAGCAGCTACTCAGGTCCTCAACTGTCTTGTTAAAACAATTGTTTTAAAATGACTGCAATCACCTACAGTAGAAATGCTAAAGGAATGTCAGAGACCTTGTATAATGCCATATATCTTTGAATTAATATTTTTTTCCAAAAGAAAGTATTTCCCCAGGCATGGCTAGTTGTTCACCTAAATCTACAAGTATCCTGTAGTGACGGAAGTTAAAAACTAGTATAGAAAAGCAGAGAGGGAGGGCTTCTCAGGCTTTTCTCAATGTGAAAGGACTTGTGGGTCTGGATGACTTTTATGTGTGGTTTTAGAAGATTCTCTCTTGTTTTTTCTGTTTGTTTTATCTTGCTACCCGAGTATTAATGTTCATCTCTTTACACTGTACTCATGAAGTTGCTGTTCTAATACCAGAATATAGTGCAGAATGTTCATTCTGAAGGAGTTTCCCTTAGGTTAAACAAATTCAAAGATAATGAGAAGAAATAACTGTGGAGAAAAATGCCAAAAAAGCTTTTGAAATAGTAATCGAACCAGAAATTAGTTTTCTCTAGATGTTGATGCAGAACTTCACTATAGTTGATTTTCTTTTCAAGCTGGGCGTGCCTACACTTCCAGTGCCATATCAGGCCCAAAGAGGGACTTTATCCACAGAAAAAATATCTGTTCCATGAGAGTTTTCCACGTATTGGGCTTGCCAATTGGGCTTTTAAGAAAGGCCATTAAGTTTTCACGACTCATAAGCTGACAATGGTAGGAAACATGCCCAATTTTGTTTTGCAGTTAGTGTAACAATGTTGTCCTGCAACAAACCTTAACGTAACTAGGAATTTTGATTTGACGCCAAAGTGAGCAATATTGCTGGTGACCTTCGAGCTGGCAGTAAAGTGGCATTCTCAAGGCCTTAAATTAGTAGGGCAAGCAGAATAGCAAATCCGTTCTTCTGTTATGAACCGCAGTATGGTTGGCTCTACAGTTAAATTACCCTTCAAGACAAATGAAGATGGGTGATCTTGGTCGTGGCCACAGACACCATAGGGACAACAATCAAATGAAATAATTTTGGCTAGTTCTTTCTGGTTTTGTTAGCAAGGCAAAAATACTATTCATACTAATTCATACCAATTTTAGGGCCATTTTCTGATCAGCAGAGTATCAGGTAATTGCAGTGAGTACAATGGAAAACTTCTGGATCTACCCAAGTGCAACACAGATGAGCATTACCATCAGCAAGCTAAACTCTACTCTGTGTTTTACTGGTATTAATACGGTGTATATGAAGGTTACTACTGAAACGAATGGAAGTCTTTCAGGTATCCGTTCTGGAAGCAGGATTTGTGCTAGCAGAATTTGGCCCACAAGCCCTAAGTACCTTTTAGAATACCACAAACAGTAGTATCGCGTCTGAAGCGGTAGAGGGCATGCTATACAAAATGACGATGCCGAGACTTGTTACTGACCAAGTCTTACTGGAGTAGAAATGAAGGTTTGTGCTTACTACTGACAGTGTTGTTTAAACAACTCTAAGACAATTGGATAGTTTCTTCAAGTGAAACAAATTATTTCTCAATTTGCCTTAAAGGAACTGTGAAAGCTTCTCTAACTTAAGCCTGATTGAAGTGAAATGAAACACTGTTTAATTGTATTTGTTGCTTTAGAGCTTTTGTTATATTGTGCCTACAAAGCAAATTATGTTTACATAAAAATATAAATAAAATATTGAGCATAGCATTATCCTTTGTTTATGTGTTTTATTCTAGTATTATGGTCACATTAGGGAACTGACTTGGAATTGGTTAAGAGGAAAATTTGAGGTCTTATTTTCCATTTTGGTCACTGAGGGATATACAAAGAATTTTTTTTTTATTACAGAGTACTTCGAGGTTATTAAAATGGCTGAGTGTGCTACTTTACAGAGCGTTAACAATTTAGATATAAAATGTTGAATGTTACGGTCTAAGAAATTCAAAACATTATATAAGCACCATTCATGAAGTATTCAGGGAAGTGTATTTCAATACGGGTAGAAACTAGTTTCCAGAATTTCAGCACTCGGGTTGCACTGGGAGATGGCTTGACACCCAAGTTACCCTCAGAGAGACAGTTCCTTTCAGACATGAAGATACTCTAAGGGAATAATCTTAGAATAGGATCCAAAACAGCCACCACCAAATTAGCTAATAGAAAGCAGGAGGATGTGATTGAATCTAAAATCCCGCTCTCCACGGGCCTTGGTCTTAACTCAGGGCTGCACGGAGGCTTACACCTTTTCTTTCAAAGAACTGATGCCGGTTACCAAACCTTACAGGTCATCTCAAGCCTGCACTTGAGTACATGGCTTTAAAGGTCTCCCTGCATGAAAGGAAGAGATGGTTCAATGAACTGCAGTTTAATATCTAAACAAAGAGGAAGCGTTAGCTTTTGCTCATTCCAGTCATGCAGGACATGTTCTAAAGCCTGTAATGTCCCTGGAAAAATCTCACTTCAGTAGTTACTGCATCTGGTCTATAATCTAAAAGCTCGTATGAACACTTGCTGATTGTGAAGAGGAGCAGAGCAAATTTCTGCCCTCTGTTTTCAAGTCTTAATAAGCAAATAATGATCAGTGCATCCCTAATCACAGGGTCAAGAGAAGGCTGAAAGCAAACAGCCATAGCCTTTTGCAAACTCTCTGTGATTACTAATAAAGCTCTGCCTTTTACCAGCTTTCCCACTGGGCCATCTATACTCAGCTGTCATACGATCTAACACGCAGAGGCTGCTACCAGGCAAGCGGGGATGCAGCAGGCTGCCTTTGCCTGGCATCTGGGCAGATAAAATGCAAAAATCATCCTAGGGTACTGCGTATCCCTGGGTCTCACCTCATCCTCCATTTTGTGCTTCCCCTCTCATTTTCTGTGAGCTTAGTGATTAATCCTGGTTGGGTTTTGTCAGAAAAGAGTCTTCTAGTATGGCCGTGATTGCCAGCACGCAACACACTTAAAACCTCCAGCTCCTAGAGAACCGTGCAGGAGTTTCTCCCCCGGCAGCACCTAAGTCCCTTGGTGTGAGCTAGTGTTCTCTTTCACTGCAGAAAGAGCCAAAACAATCGACACACTGTAATTGCTATCTGCATGTCGCGGTTTAACGCCAGCCGGCAGCTAAGCACCAGGCAGCCGCTCGCTCACTTCCCACCTGCAGTGGGATGGGGGAGAGAATCGGCAGAGTAAAAGTGAGAAAACTCATGGGTTGAGATAAGGACAGTTTAATAGGTAAAGGATAAGCCACGCACGCAAGCAAAGCAAAAGAAGGTATTCATTCACTGCTTCCCATTGGCCATCTCCAGGAAAGCAAGGCTCCATCGCTCCTAATGGTTACTTGGGAAGACAAATGCCATCACTCCAAATGTGTCCGTCCCCCCCCTTCCTCCTTCTTCTCCTAGTTTTTTTGTTTTCTTTTGTTTTTGAGATAAAGACATTTAACAGGACAGGAAAGGAAGGGAAAATAATAAAATTACACAGAATAAGTCATGCACAATGCAATTGCTCACCACCCCCCAATCAATGCCCAGTCAGTCCCCAAGCAGCGGGTCCCCGGCCAGGTTTCCCCCCGTTTCTATACTATTTTTTCTATACATCATATGGTATGGAATAGCCCTTTGGCCAGTTTGGATCAGCTGTCCTGGCTGTGCCCCCTCCCAGATTCTCGTGCATCTCCAGCCTTGTCAGTCGGTAGCGCGTGAGAAGCTGAAAAGTCCTTGACTGGTGTAAGCACTATTTAGCAACAACTAAAACATCAGTGTGTTATCAACATTATTCTCATCCTAAATCCAAAACACAGCACTGTACCAGCTACTAGGAAGAGAATTAACTCTATCCCAGCCCAAACCACGACACTGCATCAAGGCAGCTTTTTTCCATGCCTTTCATGTTTACCTGGGCTATCTCTGTCAACTACTTCTGCAGCAAATGGTGTGTTTTTCTGAACATTGCCGCAATCTTTGCCATTCGTAACAACGCTGTGGTGGGCACCTCACCACCAGGATGCTGTGCTGAAGCAGGAAGGTGTTGTGAGAACAGTGCAGATGATGAAGAGTCAGAGGATGAATGTATGAAGGGAAATGAATCAATCATCATGTATGTCTCTGCCCAAGAGTACCAAGTGAGTAGGAGCTGTAGCATGTTATCTGTTGATTTATTTGTATGCTTGAAAGAGAGGCTGTGGGGTGGTTTGTTACGGACGTGAGGTTTAGTCACCGCCCAGACTGCTGCG